TCCATTTATCAATCCATTTTTCTGCCCTCTGTCTGCCCATTGACCCTTCCTTCCAATCATCCATCCATTTAGTCATTCAACAAGTATTTATTGAACCTTTACCCTGTGCCAGGTGCTGAGCTAGGCACAGGTTGGGTAGAAAATAGTACCTTGGTACTTACCCCATCGAAACTTAATGCCAGCAGGAGACATAGACAAACACAACTTAAGCAAATAACTAAATAAGATAATTACAACTTATGATGAGAAGAATAGAGCAAGAATCCATGAGGCTGAAATGAAGCCTAAAGAGGGAACTTATGTTTTTGTAAGGATGTGCAGGTTCTGTCTAAGCTGAAGCCTGAAAGTGAAACGAGTCCAGCCGTACAAAGAATAGGTGAGGAAGCCCATCAGGAGGACCAGTGTGTGCGAAGGCCCTAGAGTATGAAGGAACATAGGATGTTGCAGAAAAATGTGGAGATCATGGTGGCTGGAGAATGTGAACATGAAGTGAGAGAGGACCACAAGGACTTGAAGAGCCGGTAGAGGCCAGGACTTAGTCAGGAGTTTGGATTTTCCTGGAACTGTAGTGGGAAGTCACATGCAAGATTTAAGCATAAGTGTGATGTGGTCCCTTTGTTTTTTCTTTTAAATATCACAATGACTGCATGGAGAAGAACTGTAGGAGGACATTCACAGGACCAGGAGGTGGCTTTGGGGCAAATGCCACTGTGCAGGCACCCATTGAGAGAGCAAGGGCCAGCTCTGGAATGCATCTGGCCTGCATCTGTTGTAGATGGATAGGCTGGGGAGGGACAGGCACTGATCCATAGTGATTCCCATTTGGAGAGATTGGAGCTATCAGGGAAGGAACTTTCAGCAGAGTGGAGGAAGTCTAAATCTAAAGTTTAGCATCAGAATCATGGAACGCAGGGTGCCTACAGGGTATCCACGTTGACAGAGCAACTGAACACCTAAGGCTGAATTGAGATAAGTGATCTGGGCTGGAGATAGAGGATTTGAAGGTATCTGGACCCTTAGGAGATGGTAGTTGGGAAGAAAAAATGAGAAGCAACAGGAATTAGTATTGGGCAGAGGGAAGGAGAAAGATGAAAGGAGAGTGAGGTCACAGGAGACAGGTCTGCTCCCTGCCCTTGAGTGATCTGTGGGGTCACTGGAGGCTTTGACCAGCAACTCCCCTTCCCCCTCTAAAGAGAGGGTGTTCACCACGTGGATGCACAAGTGAATGTGGCTGGGGGGTTGATGCTATTTTAGAGCTTTGGCACTAAAGGGCAATAAGAAAAGGGGTAATGGCTAGGAGGGAGTCTGAGACCAAGGATTTGTATTGTTTTGTTCTGAAGATGGGAGATGATTCCTTAGAGAAAGAATGGTGATCAGAAGAGAAATAAATTGTTTGTGGGAATCGGGTCCAGGGGGTTGGAATCCTGAACATGATGGAGAGTGGCAGAGGGAACACCCTGAACTCCATTAACGAGGGCCTGTTTGAAGTCTGAAAACAGGAAAATCAAGGGGAAGCAGCCAGCATGAGGAGCTTTGTGCTGCAGTGTTGAGCCACTTGGGAATATAGTAGTGTCACAGGGTTGAAGTAGAGGACAAGCAGACAATCAGATTGATGGGCCAGGACAGAGATGACACCAGGAGGGTGCTGAGGGGTGAGGAGGAAGCAGTGGGGCCTTTGCTACGTCTGAAGGGTTTAGCAGCCGTAGAACAGGACACCTGGGCTAGAAGAAGAGGAGGGGGAAGAGAGCAAAATGTAGGAAGTCAGGCATTCCATGATGGCACGATTTCTGGTGATGACCATGTTCAGGGCGTGACCCTGGAAGCCAGTGGCTGAAGGGGAGAGGACGGGAGGACTCAAAAGGCAAGGATGCTGGTGAGTCACCACGTGGATGTTGAAGTAATGGAGAATGGCAGGAGTTGGGGTGGGAAGGGGGATGGTGAGCCAGGAGCTACAGTCAGCAGAGAATGAGGGGAAGTGACCAGGAGAGAAGCTGATGACAGCTTTAGTGGGCACAGGGTGGTGCATCAAAAGCATATGCCTCATAGGGGTTGGTGTGGGGAGGAGAACTGGCCACAAGGAATTCTCTACGAGGCATGTGGGGTAGGAATCTCCCCTGTGGCAATGGTATCCTCAGAAAACCAGGGTTCACCGTGAGACAGGAGGGAAGAGGAAAGATGGTACTGTTTAGCACAATGATGTGGTTGCTTCCACTGGTGGGATGGTGCTGCTGGGAGGAAGTTCTTCCCCCATCCACCCACTCACCCTCTCCCACCACTCACTCCCATTCATTTGCCCACCCATCCATTGATTCATCTGATGATCCATCATTCATCTATCCCTTTCTCATCCATCATCCATCAAATCATCCTTGTTATCCATCCCCGGCGTCTTTGTTGCACGTCTCCTGTTTAGGGGCTTAGGGAGATGAAAACCATAATTCAGTCTGACTAGTGTTTGGGAGCCCCAAGGAGGGTGAGGCAGAAGCTGCCCAAATGATGATGCCTGCTCCCATAGGGAAGGGACATGTGACCTAAACCCTAAAGAGGGAGATCCACAGGAGGAAAAGAAATGGGAATGTCCCAAGCAAATGAACGAATGAGCAAGGCAAAGTCTTCAAGATATGAAAAACCTGGTACTTTGAAAGTGTAGTAAGAAGTCCTGAACCTCTTAGGATTTGAAGCTGGGGAAAAAGGAGAGGCCAAAATGTCACTATTTATCTGCTTTATCTTAGAAGCTAAAGAAAGCCACCAAAGAAAACAAAGTTGACAACTTCTACAGCCCTACAGCTGGCAATTACCTGGGGCTTGCTCAGATACACACTTCGGGGGTAGGGGGAGCTATGGTCTCCCCAGGACCCTAGCACAGTGCCCCAGACCTCAGTGTGGGGATGTCCTCTCGCCCCGGGGAGGAGACACATGGAGCTGAGGCAGTGGCTGCTGGCTGAGGCAGTACTCCTCTTGTGCTCACATGCTGGCCTCAGGCCTGACTTCCAACTAAGTCCAACTGGGAGGGCAACAGTTCTTTCACACCTACTCCCTTCTTAGGTAGCTCAGGGGACAGACCACCATTCACCTGGTTGCCCACATATTTTCCCAGCTGTCTGTCTGGCATAGCCTTGTTTTACTTTCACTGACTGGGAAATTCTACTTTGCCTTAGAAGCCCAGTCCAAAGCGCTCCCCTGGGGATTCCTTCCTGGCTCCTCACTGCTCTGAGAAGGTTACTCCTGCCTGGGAGTCCCCCCTCCCCTAGTGACAGCTCTCTCCCCAGCAGCCCCAGGGAGTACAAGTAAGGGGCTGCTGAGTGCCCAGGCCCTGCTCACATGCCTGAAAGGGCCCCGCATGGGAAGGAGGCTGCAGGGCCCAGGGCCATCTCTCACCTCAGGACCCCAGGACAGAGTGGGCTCCAAGGACAGGGATATTGTTGACCTGAGTGTGAGGAGGTACAGTCCCAGCAGCTGGCCAGGCAAGGGGATGCCTTCTTAGAATGGCAGCTCAGTTCACCTGGAGAGCCTCATATTCCCAAACGGACAGTAAAACTCGATGCTTGATGAGGGCTTTTCTGCTCTGACCCGTGGTGCAGTGGTGCCTAGAAGGGTTTGACCAGGAGCGGGGATGGGGAGGAATGGAAGAAGGGAGAGGCCAGTGAGTGCTGACTGGGGGCTATTTTCTACATGATGCTTAAATGAGACCTTGGTGTGTGGAGTGTGATATCCTGGTACCACTTGGTTGTGTGGCTTGGGGTTAAGGTGTGTAAAACCATCTATGGTGGGGCTTCCCAGGTTCCACCCCACCCCATTAGCATGGCAGGACCCTAGGGCTTCAGAAGCTGAGGAGCAAAGGAATTGGACTTTGGCTCCAATGCTGGGGAATCTGTGGGACTAGAAGGGCTTGGGGATAGGAGAATGGGCTCTGCTCCCCCCAGGAGGACAGGGACTTGGGGGAGGGACAGGACACAGCCCTGGGCCTCTAGCCATACAGTCCTCCCTTCCTGTTGTCTCAGGATGGTCCTGGCAGGATGCATCTGCCAGAGTTCCAGGCCCAGACCTCCCCCAGAGTTTGCTCCCACCCCCACCAGGATCCCACTCTTCCACACACATACATATGTGTATATGCAAGAACATGAACCACAGATGTTTTTACACACCCTGACCCCAAGCCACACAACCAAATGATCAGGACAGCACACTCCACATACCAAAATCTCATTTCAAAACATACTGAAGACACACAAAGATGCACTCTTGCACACACATACAAAGCTACAAAGACAGATTCACATGCCCAGGCCCACAGATACAGACATGCATGTGCCAAAGACCCACACCTGGCAACACATGCATGCAAAACACACACACACGCACCACAACACCCCTCTACCCCACCAGGAGGAAAATGATACATGCAGAGCTGGAGGGGAGGAGGGCTGGCATTCTGGTGGGCAGAGGGGCCTAAACCCAATCAGCCTGCAGTCATTGAGGGCTGAGGATGGTTACTTAACTACGTCAAGCAGATTTACTTGTGCATCTAAGGAACAGTTCTACAGGAAGATCTGAGGGTGTTGGGTGGAGGCCTGGGCAGGGAGAGCCCCCTGAGGCTGGGGCAATTAGACAGGGCCTATACAGATGAGAGGAGAAAAGCTGGTTGAGCCAAAGAACAGTCATGAGATGGATTCCCTGGGATCTTGAAGTGGGTGAGGACATAAGAGGCTGGGTGGGGAGGCCGAGGCCTGGGTGCGTTTGGGGGAAAGTCTGGGATGTGCAAGACCCCCTCATAAGCAGTGAGCATAGGTGTGCGGTTTAAATGAAGCTGTGGGGGTCACATGCTTTAAGTCTCCCCCATGTAGAATGAGCCCTGCAGTCTCCTCCTTCTCCTTCATAATGGCCACTCAGCTCTTTATGGCCAGAGGCCAGAATCCAGGGCAGTCAGTGATCACTTAGGGCTGGCTGGACCTGCATGAACTCATGACCCAGTGCTACACTAACCCTGTCTCCCATGCCAGGCCTGGCAAGTGGTTACTCCATGACCCCCCCAACCCTGAACATTACGGAGGAGGCATACATCATCGACACCAGTGAGAGCCTATCCATCTCCTGCAGGTACTGAGCCCTTCCTACCTGGCAGTCCAAGGAGGCTACAGAAGGCCAAGGTGGGAGGTGATGGCTGAGGGCACAGAAGACAGCTCCTCCTCAGGCCATAGAGGCCTTGAGGCTGAGTAGGGTTCCCAGGATATGGGTACCTAGAGGCCCTGCAGACAAAGGCACCAATGTACTTCCAAACCTTACCCATACCTCCCCCTCAGGTCACCCTATACGGGCCCTAGATCACCTGCATTGACCCCCAGCCTCCCTTCACTGGCCCCAAGCTCTCCCACTCTGCTCCCAGGACCTCCCTGTAGCCCCAGCTATGATCCAAGGCCCGAGCTTCTCTGCAGGCCAGCCTGCCACTAAGCTCTGGGGTCTCAGAGAGTTCGCTGTCCCAGGCTGGGTTTATGATATGTCCCATCTCTGTGAGACAAGCTGTGGGTGAGGCTGTGGGCCCTTCAGGGAGGCTCCTCAGGAACTGTCCCCCTGGGTTGCCACTGAGTGCAGGGGGATTCCTGACCTCTCCTATCTTCTGCCAGGGGGCAACACCCCCTTGAGTGGGCCTGGCCAGGAGCTCAGGAGACACCAGCCACAGGGGAGAAGGACAGCGAGGACACAGGGGTTGTGCGAGACTGCGAGGGCACAGACGCCAAGCCCTACTGCAAGGTGCTGCTGCTGGGTGAGGCCCACGCCAACAACACAGGCAGCTACCTCTGCTACTATAAGTACATCAAGGCCCGCATCGAGGGCACCACAGCTGCCAGCACCTACGTGTTCGTAAGAGGTGAGGTCACTAAGACAAGCGAGCAGACCAGGTGTGGGCAGGGTCCCGGAAGGGATGGTTAGTGCCCATGCTGACCCCAGGCTGGCAAGAGGGGAGAAGGAGATCTCCCCCTACTCCAGATGGCAGCAGGCAGCTGAATCATCACCACCCAGCCCCCATGGGGCTGCCCTGCCACCCCTGACCAGCCCTGGCCAGAGACTCCCTGAGCCCCGTCCTTCCTCAACTCCTACTCCCTCTCCTTAGACTTTGAGCAGCCGTTCATCAACCAACCCGACACTCTCCTGGTCAACAGGAAGGACTCCATGTGGGTGCCCTGCTTGGTGTCCATCCCTGGCCTCAACGTCACATTGCGATCGGTACAATCCCAATCCCCATGCCAGGATTCAACCCTACTACCCCGTCCCTGGGAAAGGTGGCTGCTGGTCTGGTCAGGAGGAAAGGAGTAGCCAGGCACTTACAGTCAGTGTATCCCTCCAGCAAAGCTCCGTGCTGCAGCCTGATGGGCAGGAAGTGGTGTGGGACGACCGCCGGGGCATGCGGGTGCCCACGTCACTGCTGCGTGATGCTCTATACCTGCAGTGTGAGACCACCTGGGGCGGCCAGAACTTCCTTTCCAATCTCTTCCTTGTGCACATCACAGGTAGGGCCTGCTCCTGGCACCTCACCCACTCACCACTCCCTGTGCCCCCAAGAGGAATATGGCAGGCACCCCCATTCCCAGTAATAGGGCTATTAGTGACACAGCTGATCTTGAGGAGCATCCAGTGCTCTGTAGTCTGTGTGGTGGGTGTCCTGTAAGGGGTATGGGAGTCACTATGCATGTTTCACCAGGCAATGAACTCTATGACATCCAGCTGTTCCCCAAGAAGTCACTGGAGCTGCTGGTCGGGGAGAAGCTGGTCCTGAACTGCACAGTGTGGGCTGAATTCAACTCAGGGGTCACCTTCGACTGGGACTATCCAGGGAAGCAGGTGAGGTTGGCAGCCCTGCAGGGCGCCTTCCTCCTGCCCACATCTGTCCTGTTCCCATCACTGCCCAAGCCCACCTATACCTGGCACACACTGGGCCTCTGTGTGGAGGAGGTACAGGCCCAGCCAGCCCCATGAAATCTAGTCTGATAGGAAAGTTTTCCACCCCAAGGAAAACTGGGTCAAGGCTTCCAGAGCCAGCACTGGCTGGGCAGGGGTGTGTGCCTTTGGTAGGTCCAATCTGCCAGAGCCCACCTACTGACCCTGGGCTTCCCCTGGGTGTGGGCAGGCAGAGCGGGGTAAGTGGGTACCTGAGCGGCGCTCCCAGCAGACTCACACAGAACTCTCCAGCATCCTGACCATCTACAACGTCAGCCAGCACGACCTGGGCACATATGTTTGCGAGGTCAACAATGGCATCCAGAAATTCCGGGAGAGCACTGAAGTCATTGTGCACGGTATGGCCTGGAGTTGGATCATTATGCCCAGCTTGGCCCCCGGGGTGGGTCCAACATCGTAAAGCCTGAGGAACAAGGGTCCTTGTGCAGTGTAGGCTTGGGGTCAAAGGCCATGGTGCACCTAAGCAGCGGGGAGTCTAGCCAGAGGAAAGGGAAGGCTATGAGCAGAAACCCTGCCTGGCTCCCACATGCTGGATAGCACGGCAAGCCTCCATCTTCAGGCTACTGGGGCTGCAGGGGCTCTGCAGGGGCTGGAAATCCCTGGTCCTCGATGGGTCAGCCCCAGATTTACACCCATGCCTCCTGTCTGGCAGAAAAGCCCTTCATCAGTGTCGAGTGGCTCAAAGGACCTGTCCTGGAGGCCACTGCAGGTGACGAGTTGGTGAAGCTGCCTGTGAAGCTGGCAGCATATCCCCCGCCGGAGTTCCAATGGTAACAGCCCTGGGCCCCCTTCCCTTTCCTATCCTACCAGGCCCAGCACAAGAAAGGACTGAGGGATGAGAAGGGCAGTGTCCTTCCCCATCAGGGCCTGCACTCTGAGACCCAGGTGGGGACCTTCCATGAGGATACCCCCAAAAAAGCAACTACATCATACAATAGTTCAACTAGAAAGAAGGTTGGCCCAGGATACTATAAAACCATGAAAAGATTAAGTACCAGCCTGCTTAGTACATATGGTGTGGTGGCAGAGAGGAGGACTTTAACTGTTTCCTGCAACTCCTCAGCATCTCTAAAGCCCTGAAAGCTGGATTCATTTACATGCTGAGTAAATATAAGGCCAGTCACACATCAACGACCTCAGTCCCTTAGTCCTTTCAACTAGGTTGCCTCTCCCAGGACCCTCTTCTCCAGAAATCTGGAGATACCATAGGGATTGAACAAAACGTTATGGAGCCTGGCCCTGGGCAATAAAGCTAGAGAGTTTCCAGGAGGTTTACCAAATGCAAGAGCCCAGGCTTCAGTCTGTGAGCTGAGAAACCAAGGCTTCCCTGTGGGGTGTGTTCAGGGCAGTGAGGGGACCCCTCAGTAGTAGCTCTGCCCTTGCTGGATGCTCCCAACAGAACTCAAGGGAGCACAGAACCTCTCCCCAATGCTTCCTCAGCCCTCTGAGCAACCACATGGCTCATCCACGGTAGATCATGCTGACCCAAGCTGCTATTATACAGGTGAGAAAACAAGTCAGAAGATGGAAAGGCCATTCGTCGCCTGGGCTCCAGCATTCTGTCCTCCCAGCCTGAGTACCTCTCCCACCTGGAAGGATAGTTTTTCTGGTGCTGGGCATGCAGATGCCCCAGATGTCCTCAGCCAGGAGCTACTTGCACTACTGTAGACTAAAAGCAGGCTTCTCTTGGAAGAGCCTGGAATGTCCTGGCCCTGAGCCTAGTGAGGCCACAGCCTTGGGAGTCCACCCGGCACAGTACCAGAGCTTTTGAGGCAGAGTCTTGAGGGCAATGGTGTAGTCAGGAACTTCACTTACAAAAAGGCATTCCTAGAGACACCCAGAGCCTGTCCCCTGCCTTCCAAGGCCAGAAGGACTAAGCCTGCTCAGGGTGAGTGACCAAGTCTGCTGCAACTGGGGTCCAGCCTGATCCCTAGGCAGCTGTTTTTCCACTGGAACATTCCCACCACATCTGGACCTTCTCCTGCTTGGCCAGCATCTACTTCCAAGAAGTTCTCAGCTGGCCCAGAGCACTACTAGGTAGTCACCAAAGCCCCACAGGTGCCCACTATTCAGTTGGCATCATCTTGTGATAACTCTGAGACAGTGACTGAAGGAAGGTATAGTGAGCATAAACAGACAAGCTGGTCCTCGGTTCCCGAAGTTCCCAGTGTGCCCAGCAAGGTGCTGATGTTGTCTTGGCCCTCACAACCCCTGCAAGGTACATTTCCCCAGTTTTCAGATGAGGACCCTGAGACTTGTGATGGAAAGGGGATCTGCCCAAGAGCAACAGTCCCAGCAAGTGGCAGAGTTGGATTCTAACAGCCCTCTGCACCAGTGCCAGACAGATAGCACAGGCTTGTGCTTTCCTGCCTTGTCCTGCTCTGTGACTCTGTGCAAGTCATGTCATTCTCTGAGTCAGACTGCTGTCAGAGGTGAGAGATCTCTGTGTCCCTGTCACCATAGTTCTCTGCCCAAGAGATGTGCCACACTACCGCATCTCTCTGACTTAGCACAGTTGGTACCCAGAGGGGAAGCATCTGAAGAGGAAGGACTCTCTGAGTCCAGAACTCAGGTGGCAGAGGCAACTGCCTACAGAAATTCCAGCTCATGACTTAGGGAGGAGCCACTGTGGGGTGGGAGGCATCTATTTCCTCACATGTGCAGCAAGTATCTATGGAGCACCTACAGATGTCAGGCAGAGCTCTACATGTACGATGTACAACAGGAAGGAGACAGTCCTCATGGGATTCGTAGCTCAGTGAGGGTATAGACAATCAATAGACACATATCTAAAAATCAACAGGCTATCTGGAGATGTAGCTTGTGGTAGAGCAAATACCAGGGCATGAGGCCCTGGGTTTAATCCCCAGCACTGAAACAAAACGAAAAGAAAGAAAACCAATGGGCTAATGATCAGTAAGACAGGGACAGGGTCCAGCCAAGTACCACCCACATAATGAGACAGGAGAGGATGAGTTAGTGTTCTTTAATGAATACTCTAACCCAAAAACAGAAAGTAAAGAGCCCTGCAGACTGTTGTCTATAGGAAAGAGAATCCAAGCAAGAGCAGCAGTAAATGCCAAGATCCTGGGTAGACCATGTGTCTGGAGAGCTCAGGAAAGGGCAGAATTGGGGATCAGAAAGCCAAGCAGGGATCTCCTTGCATGGTAAGAAGTCCAGTTGTGCTCCCCGGGGACTAAAGCTTCACTTCTGGATTTGGACTGTGAGAAAGAGGACAGAGCCCATTGAGAGCCCTGTAGTTGGTACCTGATGCTGCAGCCCAACTAGTATGGAAGAGCCAACCAGAGGAGACTGGGGAGTTGGGCAGAACCTTCCTAGACTGAACTTGATAAGCCTGGTAATTGAAGGCAAACCAAGGCCACAGACAAGGCAGAGTTAAGGGGACTGCACTGAGCAGAAACACAGTCTCCCCATCACTTGGGGAAAGATCTCAAAGGCTTTAGGAACAAAGGCAGGAGTTGCTGCTGCAAGGTCTCAGGGATGTTCCTGAGCTGACCACCTGATGGAGTTATGAGACCCAGCTGATAAAGCCTAAAGCCTTTGACCATCTGTTCCCCAGACCAGAGACTGCTGCCCCATCCATCCCACCCACACTGCTGCTGGCCCTTTCTGGCCTGATCCAGGAGGGACTGCTTGCTCTGACCTGGCCCATCAGGAAAAGCCACTTGGTCTTCTCTTCCCATTTCCAGCAGTATACATGGGCCCTCCATATCTCTGTGTTCTGCATCCGTGGATTCAAACAACTGTGGATTGAAAATATTTGGAAAAAAAAAATTGTGTCTCTACTGACCAAACATGTGCAGACTTTGTTCTTGTCATCATTTCCTAAATGCTTTGGTATAACGCAGCATTTACATTGCATTTACATAGTATTTATATTGTATTAAGCATTGTAAGTAATGTAGAGATGAAGGGATGTGCATAGGTTATATGCAAATAGAAGAGACTAGAGCATTCAGGAAGTTGGGTATACAGTGGGGGGGGTGTCCTGGAACCATTCTGGCTGGATGGGGTGGAAGTGTCAGCATGAGGCAGGGTCCACACAGCCCATGAACTCCCTTCCTGGGCCAGGTACAAGGACAAAAAGGCAGTGACTGGGCGCCACAGTCCACATGCTCTGGTGCTCAAAGAAGTGACCGAAGCAAGTGCAGGCATCTACACACTTGCCCTGTGGAACTCAGCAGCCGGCCTGAGGTGCAACATCAGCCTGGAGCTGGTGGTGAATGGTACAGGAAGGGAGGATGGGAGAGGGGACAGGTGGTTGGGTAGGTGTGGTGATGGGGCCACCTGATTGGCTGATGCCTGTTCCCCTAGTACCCCCACACATCCATGAGAAGGAAGCCTCCTCCCCCAGCATCTACTCCCGCCACAGTCGCCAGGCCCTCACCTGCACAGCCTATGGGGTGCCCCCACCTCTCAGCATCCAGTGGCACTGGCGGCCCTGGACACCCTGCAAGACATTTGCCCAGCGCAGCCTGTAAGTATGCCCCAACCCCATTCTCCTCTATTTAACCTCCATTTCCCCAACCTCAACCATGGTGAACTCAGTTTTCAGCCCCTCTTGCCACCCAGACCTTACCTGTACCCCTCCGAGATCCCTATTCTGAACTCAAACCCTATCTTTGCTTTTGTTGCCTATGCTTTTGAGGTATTATTCATAAAAAACGCTTTCCCAGACCAACATCATGAAACAGCTTCTCTATTTTTTTCTTCTAATAATGTTATAGCTTTAAGTTTTATAATTTTAATCAATTTCAAACTGATTTTTATAACTGGTGAGAGACAAGAGTCTAGTTTCATACTTCTGCATGTGGATAGACAGTTTTCTCATCACTGAAGAGACTTTTGTTTTCCCAATGTGTGTTTTTGGCACCTTTATTGTAAATCATCTCTAAGTGCATGTATTTATTTCTGGGCTCTCTAGTCTGTTCCATTGGTCCAAGTCCTTGTTTTTATGCCAGTACCATGCTACTTTGGTACTGTACCTTTATAGTATATTTTGAAATTGAGTAGTGTGATGCCTCCAGCTTTGTTCTTTTCATTCAAGATTGCTTTCACTATCCAGGGTCTTTTGTGGTTCTATCTGAATTTAAGATTGTTTTTCTATTTCTGTGGATAATGTCATTGGCATTTTGATAAAAGCAATTGCATTGAATATGTAGATCACATCGGACAGTATGAGCATTTTAACAATATTAAATCACTGATTCAGTCCTATGCCAGCAGGCCAGGCTGGACTATGGGGATGGGGCTAGCCCCCACCCAGTTCTCTCAAGAGCAAGCCCCTGGGTGCATAATTGCATCATTTAGGAAGGACAAAAGGAAGTGCATCCGGGTACCAATGATGGCCCCTTCCACGAAGTGGGCAGACTTGGAATATTGCTATAAAACTCTGTTCTGGGCCTCAGAATACACTAAGCATGTTTATGTGCCTTTGCTCATCTATGCAGCTCACAATCACCCCCATATAGATAAAGCAACAACAGGTTTTAAGAAGAAGGGCAACTTTCTCAACAGAGAAAACAGAGCCTACCCAACTGCTGAGAAATGCCCCCTTAAACTAAGCTGGATATCCACAAGACAGATGGGCCAGGGAGAATATTTATGGCAAAGACAACTTAGACAATGCAGGGGACAGGAGAGGAGGATGCTGAGGTGAGCAGAGGTCTTTAAGGCACTAGGGTGGGACAGTAAAGGACATTAAGCATGGAAGTGATAGATCAGATTTGCCATTTAGCCAGAGATCCTGTGTCACAAGCTAGGGAGGGATGGATGCCAGGAACCTAGACAGGAGATAAGGGAAGCCCCACCAGCAACCAAAAGGCTATGGCTCCAACACGGTCAATGGGGGAGGCTCAGTAGAAGTGGTGTGAATCTGAAACAGCCTGAAGGATCCAAGGATCATGAGAGATTCTTCAGGAATCTCACATAGCCTACATCTCACACTGGTACCTCAAATTTACTTCCCTCTGATGATCCACCATTATACCTCATACCAACTGAAAGAGCCAGGGGCCCAAATATGCTGGGGATACACATCTAACCCCGGAGGAGAAAAGGAAAGATTAGTGGAGTGGTCCTCCTGAGGCAGAGTGATGACATGCTGCCCAGAGGCAAGCGAGGTAAGCAGATCCCAGGTAAACTCTGAAGGAAGCAACACAGCAAAAGTGGGATATAATGCACAGGATGGAGTGCAAGGCCCTGAGCAACACTGCAGAAACAAACTCACCGGCCCTATTACTCACTTGGCCTGAGAACTGGCCCTACCCACTGAGGTGTAAGATGACTCTGAAGATGACAAAGACCCCTATCCCCCAGTGTGAGCTCTCCCTGGCTGTGTCTCTGATCTGCCTCCTGGTTTGTAACAGCCGTCGTCGGCAGCAGCGGGATCGCATGCCTCAGTGCCGCGACTGGAGGGAGGTGACCACACAGGACCCTGTGAACCCCATCGAGAGCCTGGACACCTGGACCGAGTTTGTGGAGGGGAAGAATAAGGTACAGTCCAGCCACCAAGGGACAAGAAGAGAAGGGGGAAGAAGGGTGGTTAGGAGGGCTCTCTTCTGCCTTCTCTGTTTCCACCTGTCCAGAAGAGCTTGGGGAAAGCAGCTGAGAACCAGGTGACCCTTCCTCAATTTCTGGGCCTCAGCTTCCCTTCCTACATGCACATAGGAGTCAGGCTTCCTGCTTCTTCCCAGACAACGAAGCAGAGATCCAAGATCTCCTGGCCAGGCCACAGTCCCCTGTGCTCACAAACACCAAGGCTTGGAGAAGATGGGGCTGGAGGCTGACCAGGTCTCCACAGAAGTCTGCTGAGCTGCTGGACCAGCCTGGGGGCAATGCTAAGAAGAGGCCAGGAGGGGGAGGGGGAATGAACAAAGGCACCCACTTCCTACAGTCACTTCCTGTTTTCCTACACACCTCCAGAGCCTCTTCCTGTTCCAGGGCTGGCCAGGAAGTGCCCGGCTTGGGGTGGGGGTGGGGGGTCTTTGGATGGTAGGCAGGGCCTATGGCCCTGTCTCCTCCCCTACTTCTCAAGTTTCTTACTCCCTGAAGCCAGGATTTTTTCTGAAAGCCTGGGACACCTGCTACCTACCTCCCAAGACTCTCCTGGACACTAGAAAAAGGTGCCCTGGAATCAATGTGGCACATCACAAAGATCTCACACAATGACCACTATTGACCTTAGGCCAAGCTTGACCCCAGTTCAGGAGTAACTGATGCCTTGATGTGACTACAGTCTGTTAAACCTGTCTTGTACTGACCCAATTGTCACGTTGACTTCTGACCCTTCAACATGGCCATAGACTAAGCCCAGTCACAGATTGAAGTCTCTCTGTTCCTGCCAAAAACTGCCCTCTGACCTCAGCCACAGGAAAGAGGAACTGTCCAAATACTGTCCCTTGACTAACTTCTAGGGACCCTCCTAACTCTGCTGTGTGAAGGCCGTTCCTTCTCTTCCCTGCCTCACCATTCCTGGTCCTGTCTCTGAACTTTGTTCATTGACAGCCTAAAGCTTCAGTTTCCCCATTCCTGGTGGGCATAGTGGCCTCCTTGCAGAAGGGGAGGGTCCAGGTTGAGGAATTCAGGCTAGAAATGGATCTTTGTACCTGTGCTCTACCTAGACTGTGAGCAAGCTGGTGATACAGGATGCCAATGTGTCTGCCATGTACAAGTGTGTGGTCTTCAACAAGGTGGGCCAGGACGAGCGACTCATCTACTTCTATGTGACCAGTGAGTGACCAGACTGCCTTTCAGAGAGGGCCTCTTCCCCTGGTCAGCCCTGGGTGCAAGGTCAAGAGCCGGGTTTGACTCATTGTATTTCTGGTGATTATGAGGCACCCAGGAGAGATATATAATGCCCATAGGGCCTTGGGGCTGGATGAGAGGGATATATTTAGAGATTATCAGCATGTGGACTAAGTGTTGGTGCACTGGGGTAGTAGTACTGTGTTCCCTCAGCCCTGATCCCTCTCCCTCAAGGATGTCCTCTGGCTCTCTGCAGCTACACTTGCCTCCTGCCACCCTTCCAAAACCCTGGAGCCCTGTGGTTCATGTGCACATTTTGCTCTGGAAAGGTCTACAGCTTACTCAGATTTTCAAATGTATTGATGACCTCAGGAGAACTAAGAAGCCTAGGAGTGGGTAGTCACTGGACCCAGGGGTGTCAATGAGGGCACCCCCCAGAGAAATGGAAACAGGGAGGAACACTTGGGGGCAGGGAGGAGCCCATAAAAGCTTGACAAGAAATGATTAGAATCGAGAGATGGAAACCCAGAGTGTGGTACGGGCAAAAGTTAATGAAGAAATTGTTTCAAGAAGAGGAGGAGTAGTGGGGTATGGTCAGCTGCAAGAAAGAATGAAGAATGGGCCCCACTGAGGAGACTCAAGGAATCTGGCCTCCTAGGAGAGGTGAGAGCAGCAACCTGGTTGGGGCTTGATCAAGACAAAGAGAGGTAGGAAGTCAGGAGGAGACCCAGTGGGGTAGGGCTGACATCAAGAGAGCTGGGTCCATTGGTCAATGAAGGGGAGAAAGAAGAAGGAAGTGAGCTCTAGAGTGGTATGATCACCTGGATACATATGTGCACACCCTTCATTGAGAACTAAGTGAATTCGAAGGCCAACTGGGAAAGGGGAGAGGGCAGACAGGCGAGCGAATATCTGGGCAGAGTCACAGAGGTTCCTCCCCACTTCCCAGCCATCCCCGATGGCTTCAGTATAGAATCCGAACCCACTGAGGAGCCTTTAGAGGGCCAGTCCGTGCGCCTCAGCTGCCGAGCCGACAACTACACTTACGAGCATCTACGTTGGTATCGCCTCAACCTGTCCACGCTGCACGATGCGCAAGGGAACCCGCTACTGCTCGATTGCAAGAACGTGCACCTATTCGCCACGCCGCTGGAGGCCAATCTGGAGGAAGCGAAACCAGGGGAGCGCCACGCCACTCTCAGCCTGAGCATCCCCCGAGTGGCGCCCGAGCATGAGGGCGACTACGTGTGCGAGGTGCAGGATCGTCGCAGCCACGACAAACACTGCCACAAGAAGTACCTCTCAGTGCAGGGTGAGGCGGGCCAGGCCGGTGATCAAGGGCGGAGCCACGCTTCTCATCTAGCCTCCGCGGCTCCTGCCTTTGCACCCAGCCCAGTAGCGCTTGGGTAGTCTATTTGCAAGTCTGGGTCGGCAGGAGCATTCCACTACCCAGCTCAGCCCCGCCTCTCACTTGTACGCACAATCCCCGACCCTTCCTTCAGTATTGTGCAACCCATCTTACCCTTGCACGCCCACCTCCCACACCTCTGCTCCCAGTCCTGCCCGGAGTGCTGGGTCTTAGGTGACTTTTACTTTCTGCGCCTCCACTTAGCTCCCTCTCCACCCCCACCCCCAGCCTTAGAAGCTCCTCGGCTCACGCAGAACTTGACAGACCTCCTGGTGAACGTGAGTGATTCCCTGGAAATGAGGTGCCCGGTGGCTGGAGCGCATATACCCAGCATTGTGTGGTACAAAGATGAAAGGGTGCTGGAGAAAGAGTCTGGTAAGGAGGGTGGCCTGTGGCGACTGTGGGGGTCGGGAGGTCTTCAAATCCAACGCCCCTAGGCCCACCTGAGCTGGACTCTCCATGCCACCCGGCAGGAATCGACCTGGCGGACTCGAACCAGAAACTGAGCATCCAGCGCGTGCGCGAAGAAGACGCTGGCCGCTACTTGTGCAGCGTGTGCAACGCCAAGGGCTGCGTCAACTCTTCCGCCAGCGTGGCGGTGGAAGGTCCGAGCTCTGCTTTGCAACCGTGGACCCATTTTCTTCCCTAACTGTAGCCTTCTTTTGTCCCATCTCATGCAAGTCATGCGTATCAGAAGGGGTAAGGTATAGCCTTTTCTCCCTTCCTCTTTTCCCATTCAGGCTCGGAGGACAAAGGCAGCATGGAGATCGTGATCCTCGTTGGCACCGGGGTCATTGCTGTCTTTTTCTGGATCCTCCTCCTCCTCATCTTCTGTAACATGCGAAGGGTGAGGTAGCTTCCCCTGCTGAGCCTCTCCCCAACTCCTAATGGGGTCTTTCTTTCGGCCAGCCCTTCCTTAAGAATAAAAACAAGTTCCCCAGCCTGGTTTGACAGGTAGTCTCCTGGGAAACTTCCCCATCCTTTTATGCTGGCTCCAATAAGAGAAAAGGTTATCTGTTGGTCAGACCTTTACTCATTGAACCCCCAAACAAGTGCCATCTGTAGCAGGCAAAGTTTTGCCCAAGCCACAGTGGTCGCGACCAAATTAACAAGCTGTTCCCACCCCTACCCTCAGCCGGGACATGCAGACATCAAGACTGGCTACCTGTCCATCATCATGGACCCAGGGGAAGTGCCTCTGGAGGAACAATGTGAATACCTGTCCTATGACGCCAGCCAGTGGGAGTTTCCCCGGGAGCGTCTGCACCTTGGTGAGGCCAACATCCAGCCTGCCCCAGCCACCATGCCCTCCCTGGCAGAGGCAGCCTCAGCTGCTCCAGGGTGGGCCCCACTGGTGTGCCAGAAATCCCTCCCTTCTCAGAACTCCTGCCAGGAAGGCCTGCCTGGTCCCCACCTGACCTGACCTGTTCCATCTGGGCCTTCATCCCCCAGAACCCTTAGCCAGCACCCCCAGTTCCCAGGCCCTTAGGTCATTTCCTTGCTCTGAGCAAAATGGATGTATCACACCTGCCTGGAGAGGATACTGAGGGCTTCCTGTCTGCCTCTCCTCTCCCTTTCTCTCTCCAGCTCCCTCTCCACACACTCTTCCTGTTTGGCAGAAGAGGTACCCCATGTTCCTCCTGCTTCTGCCCCTTACTTCCTGGCCTTGGGACAGGTCACCCTGCTACCCACCCTTCTCCTCCCTCAGCCCCAGGTTCCTCACCTGGAACCTGCTCCTTGCCTCCACAGGGAGAGTCCTTGGTCATGGAGCCTTTGGGAAGGTGGTGGAAGCCTCAGCTTTTGGCATTAACAAAGGCAGCAGCTGTGACACCGTGGCTGTGAAAATGCTGAAAGGTGTGGTGTCGACTGGGTCGAAGGGGCTTCCCAGCTGGGTGAGGAGCACCAGCAGCTCTCGGAGGGACTGTGGTGTAGGAAGGGAAATTGATGTTCAAAGATAGAATATCACCCAAGAATTTACAGGGAGGCAGTGGGAATCAGAGCAAGGCTTCCTCCTGAACCTCCTGCCTCAATGGGACCAGAAAGATGTACTGGGTACCCTGCGCCCCCACCCTATTGCTCCCTAGTACTGACTGTGTGTTAGTTAAGTCAGTGGCATGGGAGGAGGGGCGGGCAGGTCTCGCACCATGCTAAATCCCATGTATCCCCTCCAGAGGGCGCCACAGCTAGCGAACATCGCGCCCTGATGTCGGAGCTCAAGATTCTAATCCACATCGGTAACCACCTCAACGTGGTCAACCTCCTGGGGGCGTGTACCAAACCCAACGGTACCGAACCGGGGTGCCCTGGGGGAAGGACTGGGCATTTGCAGGGTGGGCTCACTCGCGCTAAGGATGGGAGGGAGCACGCTGGGATTGGGTTGGCAAGATTGGAGTGGGGTGGGGTGGGGCGCAGGAGGGATATCAGGCAGTGGTGGTGTCGGGCCGGAGCGTTGCTGTACATCTGTCCCTCCAGCTTGCCGTCAGTCACCAGTGCCTGGCTCTGCCCCACCTTTCCCCAGGGCCCCTCATGGTGATCGTAGAGTTCTGTAAGTACGGAAACCTCTCCAACTTCTTGCGCGCCAAGCGAGAAGCCTTCAACCCCTACGCGGTAAGTAGGCAGCCCAGCCAGCAGCCAGAGTTCTAACCGAGAGCCAAGGGCTGAGGGTGGAAATGGAATGCGCCTCCCTAATGGGAGGCGAGCCCCTTCAGACCAGCTTTATGCATCTATAGGAGAAGTCTCCCGAGCAGCGAAGGCGCTTCCACGCGATGGTTGAAGGCGCCAAGGCTGACCGGAGAAGGACGGGGAGCAGCGATCGGGCCTTGCTCACACGGCTCCTGATGGGCAAGGGAGGGGCAGGGCGGGCTCATCCTGTTCAAGAAGGTAAGAGCCTGGCTTCCCCTGGCCCAGAGTCTGATTGGCACCTCGTGATCAGGCAGCCCAGAATAACATCCTGGGGCCCTAGTGGAGAGGCTTCCATTAAAAAGCATGTAATGGACTCTGACTTAGGAAGGACAGACTCCCCAGCGATAGATTCCACAGAGCTTTTTGACATTTGAGTTGAGCATCACAGTATGAATAGCAGTTTGCATGAAGACAAGGTGGAGAAGCAGTGGAGGGTGGAGTAGCAAGTGCAGAGGCCCAGTGGTACAACAGTATTTACTGCTCTAGCAGTAATCCTAGAGAGTGGAGGTGAAGGTCAGAGGAGAGGGCTGAGAGCTAGTACCCAGGGCCTCAGGGACCTGACCAGGAGGGATGTAGTCAGGGTGGGTGAATAAATGTTCCCTTTGGGCTGGTTGGAAGATGAAAGTTATGGAGGAGATGCTCCAGAGCCCACCTCCGTCCTTTGTGCAGTGGAAGACCTGTGGCTGAGCCCACTGACCATGGAAGACCTTGTCTGCTACAGCTTCCAAGTGGCTCGGGGAATGGAGTTCCTGGCCTCCCGCAAGGTGAATCTCCCAAATCCCCATCAGGCCCTGTGGAGAGGAGAAGGGTGCAAAACCAACAGGATGCATATGTGTGCTCAGTCCAAACTTCATCCCAAAGTGGCCCCAGAATCAGCTACTGTCTCTTCCATTTTACAGAAGAGAAAACTGAGAGCAAAGTAAGGAATTCACTTTCCAAATCCCCTGGCTAGTCAGTGACAGAACTGGATGTGAAATCAGTCTGGCTGACTCTCTGACTTTCTCTGCTATCCCCACAATTCTATGAGTCCTGGGGATCCACAGAAATCTTTCCCCAAAGGAGCAGGAATCAAAAAGGACACCCCTGGAGCACTCTGGAGCTCCAGGCAGGGCCATCACCCAGGCCATCTGAGCTGAGTAAATCCCCACCTCCTTTCAATCTAGTGCATCCACAGAGACCTGGCTGCACGAAACATCTTGCTGTCAGAAAGTGACATAGTGAAGATCTGCGACTTTGGCCTTGCCCGGGACATCTACAAAGACCCTGACTATGTCCGCAAAGGCAGTGTGAGTGCAAAAGGAGAAAAGTTGGGGGCCTGGGAGATGAGGAGGAAGAGACCTGTTTGAGCAGGAGGGGTCGTGCTGGCTTAGGGTGACATGGACTCCTTAGTCTACCAGGCCACCTGCCCAGATGCTGGGGGACTCACTGCTTCCAGTGCCTCCACTGAGCCTACAGAGGACCCTAGTGACCCTGTCCACTAAGGCAGCCTGGGGTGGGAAAGTAAAGACATGAAGTGACTTTAGTGACTTGACTTTAGACAAGCAGGGACTTTAGTGCTCCAGTCAGAACTTGTGTTTTACCCAGTGTCTTGGTCCATTTGGTGGACACCAACTCCCTGGGTGTGCAGAGGAAGCCAGGTGATGTCTGTCTGGAGACGGGCAGGCCTGGTGCAGGGGCTATCCCAGAAAAGTTCATCTATGCTCAGGGGGCAGCATGTGTCCTACTGGTGAAGTTCAGAGGGTACCTGAATGAGCATCCATGGCTGATTAGGGATTTGCTCAAGGGAGAGGTGGGAAGAAGGCTGGAGGAAGGAAATAAGAAGGATGAGTCCAGAATGTGTTGTGACAGCCACCCTGTCTAGCATGGTCCCCCACAGAAGGCTTTTGTCCTTCATTCCAACTCACAGGTGGGTGACAGCAGGTGAAGGAAGTAGTTTACAGAAGGCACTCTCTGTAAGCTGTGAAGAGAGGGGATGGGAATGCTGGGCTGGAAGCAGAGACCCTCAGGTAGAAGTAATGAGAGGAAAAGAAACAAATGATGGGGAAGAGACATCAGGAACCCCGGGAGGAAGGGTTAGGAACTGACCTCTGGGAGGAGGCTGTCTCAGTGTCTGACCTCAGTCCTCTCTTCCTTGCCACCCCATGGAACACACTTCCCTTCATGTCCCCTAGGCCCGGCTGCCCCTGAAGTGGATGGCCCCTGAGAGCATCTTCGACAAGGTGTACACCACACAGAGTGATGTCTGGTCCTTTGGGGTGCTGCTGTGGGAGATCTTCTCCCTGGGTGAGTTCAGGGTGAGGTGTCCAACTTGGGGAGGAGAGAGGGGACCAGCTCCAGATTGTACCATCAGCATTTCTGGTGCCAGGGGCAGGGCATGGAGGTGTGCACCTGGAGCAAGCTGTCTCATCATTCTGGGGCAGGTGCTTTGTCGTGTGCCATGAAAGCCTCCTGCCTCTACCCATCCTGGCCCAACTCCCAGAGAACTTTGCCTCCATCCTGGTATCGCCTGGGTCCTGTTGCAGGACAAAGCCTTGGTTCACATGACAGCCTCCACCTCTCATGGCTCCCTGAGAGAGCTTGGTGCTCATTCAATGAACAGACCTACTTATACAAGTCCCACATAGGAACATGATGAAGTCCCCTTCTAGGGTGGAGGGAGGCAACAAACAAGAAAGTATCACCAATGGCAACGATGATAAATGCTGTCACTGAAAATAAAAGAACAGGAAGAATCTAGCAGCTTGGGTACTGTTGTGTGAACAAGAGGCACTCGCGAGGGTCCAGGGTACATGAAAGGGAGTAGAGGGTAGGCATGTAGTTCAGTGGCAGAGGGTAGGTTTAGCTTGCACTGGCCCTGAGTTCAAACCCCACCTCTGCAAAGTAATAATAATAATAATAATAATAAAAGTGGGTAGCATGGGTAGGCCTCCAAAGACAACAATCAAGGACAGCCCAGCCCATTGTGCTTGGTTCTAATGTATTGGAGATCCCAGGATGTGGGCACAGTGGGGCATTGGGAAATGCAGCAAGAGGGAGAAGTAGCTTTGTCAAAACTGGTTCTGTGGAATTCCACCACCCATAAAGGTCCTGATAACTGTGAATTCACTAATTCGTGTTGAATGTGTAGACATTCATGGCCCCCTAACAAATGAGTGGCCTCATCCTCCTTTAACTAGATAAAAAGCTAGAGTCGGGGAGGACAGGGCAACAACTAGTCTAGGCCCCAGGTTGGGCACAACAGAGTGAACCCCATCTTCACCTTGCTACAGGGAGGAAGAGAAAGGGTGGCTGGAATAGGACAGGGGCAATTGGGAGGCTGGGCTGAGCAGTGGGCAGCCTGCTCCCCACTCACCTCAGTCCTTTCCTGCTCTCAGGGGCCTCCCCATACCCTGGGGTGCAGATCAACGAGGAGTTCTGCCAGCGACTGAAAGATGGCACCCGGATGAGGGCTCCAGAGCTGGCCTCTCCTGCCATGTGAGTCTCTGGCTGGATGTGCAGGTGCTGGGGACAGGGGGGATGGGCACAGGGAGAGATGCAGCAGGTGGGGAGGGGGGATGGGAAGTGAAGCATGCAGGCTAGAAAAGGGGTGTGCACACATAGAGGAAGGCCTGGGTACAGGCACAGAGAGAGAGAACACACAGCAATGGGGGCACTCTGGGGGACATGTAAACATGGAGGCAAAGGATGGCATTCAGGCACAGGAAGTACAGCAGGCTGGCAGCAGCAGGAAATAGGCAGGCCAGGATGGGCCTGGGGCCTGTATAAACAGGCCCTCACTCCACCACTGACCAGTCAACAACTCCCTCCTGCTCTGTGCCATTTCCAAGGAGACTAGAGCCAATAGAGCTGGACTGGCCCTGGCCCTGGCCCTGGCAGGCAAAAAGGTAGTCAAGTAACCATAACTATGATGGACAGGAGAGGTTTGGGTGCTCTGAGAACAGCCAGTGGGAATCAGAAGGAGTCAGGGTGATCATGGAAACATCCCCAGGTGGGGATACTGAAGTGACACTTGAAGAAGGAGTGAAAAAGCAGCTGGAGAATGGTGAGGAGGGATACCCCAGACAAGGGGAACAATGCCTAGAGTAGGGAGACAGAGGGGGTGCAAGAGACAAGCTTAGTCTGGTTTTTGTTCCTATAACAACAACAAAAAAAAATAGTGGGTATTTTATCTGGAAAAAAGATGTATTTAGCTCATGATTTTGGGAGTTCAAGAGCAGGGCACCAGCATCTGTTTGGCACCAGCGTCTGTTTGGCATCTTCTGGCTGTATCATGTTATGGTGCAAGGATGAGAGAGAGAGATGGCCTGGCAAGAGACCGGGCAGGGGTTAGGCTCCTTTTATAACAACCTCCTTTCTTCCAAATGGGTTACTCTTGTGAGACCCAACCCACTCCATCCAACCAACTTTAATCCATTCTTGAGGGTGGATGTCCTCACCCCACCAATCCCCACCACCACCACCCCAACCCCCACCACCCCCCCATGAAATCTTCCACTAGGCCCCACCTCTTAAAGGTTCCACCACCTTAAAGGTTCCAGCACTAATACACTGGGGACCAAGCTTCCAGCACATGAACCTTTGGGGAACACATTCAAACCTCATCCAAACGATGTCAGGGATCCAAGGGAGAAAGGAGGGCTAGGATGGGCTGGTGGAAGGGTCAGGGCATGCTCAGATCACAGGCCAGCAACCAGCTTTTCCTTGCAGACGCCGCATCATGCTGAGTTGTTGGTCAGGAGACCCCAAAGCAAGGCCTGCTTTCTCAGAGCTGGTGGAAATCCTGGGGGACTTGCTTCAGAGTGGGGGCCGGCAGGTGAGTCCCATCTGTGTTCTGACCTACTACAATCTCTGACCCTGACTTTGGACTTGCTCTTACTGCCCCCTAAGCTCTGTTCACCTCTCAGCTACCAGACAAGGGTCATGCATGTCCAGGCCCTAGGACCTTTCAGTGCCCACCACCCACATCTCTGTCTCACACCCAGTCACTCAAAGGGAAGACACGGGCATCTTCCTTTTGTGCACACAACCCCTGATGCCTGCTCCAGCTGCCATGCAGACGGTCAGAGATCCTTCTTGCCCATGAGGAGCTCCAGGCTAGTCCTTCCCAGACCTGAAGGTAGCCTCTGACTCCCCAACATAATGGTGATGTGTTCTTTCACCTCCTTGGACCCACTGAGCACCCAGGTCCTGGACTTGTGTGTCTTGCATCCCTCCCTCCCTGGTGGTACTCATGGCTAGTACCTCATGCTTTGGGACCTGGAGGAGTGACCAGGCAACAGGCTTCTGCCTGAGACTCAGGGACTGGAAAAGGGTAGTTTGGGTCTGGTTCTGCCAACAAGAAAAGGTAAAATGCTTACACTGGTTCTGGAGGCTGCAAGAACATCCAAGAGACTGAAGTGAGGATGCTCTGCTGAGGCCCAGCCCTCTTTGCCTGCTTCCTCTGCAAAGGGAGACCTGGGAGGACTGTTGGGAGAACTGAATGAGGCTGGCCCAGCAAGGCTGCAGCAACCTTGACCCCTGCACTGCCTTGAGCACTGCTTAAGTCTGCTGGGGTTCTGGCAGGAGCTTATTTAATCCTCAGAGCACATGCTCACACACACAGCCCATCATGACCCCACCTGAGAGGTCAGGACCCCAGCAGTCCTGAGTGCAGGGGCAGGGCCTGAGGTACAGTCTCTGACCCTGACCAGCTTCCACATGCTTGCCAGGAGGAAGAGGAGGACTGCATAGCCCCATGCAGCTCTCAGAGTTCAGAGGACAGCAGCTTCCTGCAGGCATCCACCACAGCCCTGCATGTGGCCACTGAAGACATGGAGGACAGCCCACCCAGCATGCACCGTCACAGCCTGGCTGCGAGGTCCTTGCTTCCCTGGGTCTGGGAATGATGCTGGGGAGGTGGGAGAAGCTGTTTGGAGACAGTATATTTTATCCTCACACATCATCAAGGAAAAGCAATTTACAGTGACTTGAGAGATGACTTGGATGTTAGAATCATTTAAATAATAGCAGTAGGGTCATCAATGCCCTTGTGGGCTTGGTCATCAGCTGTAGGGCCCCCCTCCAAAGCCTTATGGCCTTACAGCTGTGCTTTCCTCTGAGCCTCCTCAGTCCTGTTTTCTGCCCATCAGTATTAAGACATTTCCATTGTTATAACAAAATACTGAATACTGGATACTTTATAAAGAAAAGCGGTTTATTTAGCTCACAGCTCTGGAGGTTCAAGAGCATGGTACTGGTATCTCCTTACCCCTGGGGAGTCACATGACAGAGCCCATTATGATAGCAGGAGCATATACAGAAGAGAGCATATGGTGGAACAGGAGGTCAGAGGGATTCTGGGGTCAGCACAGCTCTTTTTGTAACAACTCATTTTCTTAGGAATTAGCCAGTCTGGAGAGAACTACATTAATACCTTCCAGGGGTAGCCCCCCCCCAATGACCTTGTATTTGGAACCACCTATTAAAAGTTCCACCACCTCAACACTGCCACACTAGGGACCAAGCTTCCATTACATGTACCTTTGAGGACACATTCAAGCCCTTATTCAAACAATAAGGCAATTGGCCTTCTCTGATTCTCTGCACTTCCAACCCCCTCCCTGAAAAGGCCCCCTCACCACAGTTCAAGCAGTACCCATCCCAGTGACATTTTCTTGCAGGAAGACTGTCCAATAGGTTGGATTTGGGGCCCAGACTCTTCCCAGGGTGTGGCCACTCACTGCCAGAGACCTTGGAAGCAGAGTCAGCCACTCACTAGTGGTATTCAGGAGTGAGAACTTAGCCTAAGTTCCCAGAATTTTAGCCTTAGGAAGTTGCACCATCCACATTCCCACCAGCCTGGCTAAGAGACATGGAACTGAGAATCTTGCCAGGTCTGCTTCAGCCTAGGGCAGGGCCAGGCCATCCAGTGGCTATAGCAGCAGGACCAGCTTGATGTGCCCCACTTTCCTACTACTGTGCACCCCACTAGGGGACTTTGGAGATTTTATTCTTCTTGTGCAGGTGAGGAAATGCAGCTCAGGGAAGGGAAGGGATGTGCCCAGGATCCCTCAGATGGGGCTGCATGATGGACATCCAAGGCAGGACCTGGGACAGGTCCAGACCTCAGGCCCAGGCCCCACCCATGCTCATACCCCACACTGGAGGTCCTTCCTCAGGGACAAGAAGGCAGATTGAGAGGTTAGTAGGGTAGTTGGCTTGTGCCTCTCCAGTACCCTCTGTTTTCTCCCCACAGGTATTATAATTGTGTGTCCTTTCCCGGGTACCTGGCCAGAGGGACTCAGACCCAGGGTGCCCCCAAGATGAAGACCTTTGAAGAATTCCCTATGACCCCAACAACATACAAAGCCTCTGTGGTAAGGGAAGGGTGGGGGGAGAGATCTGTGTACCTCAGATCAGGGCCAGGGGTACCTCCACGGGAGGTAAGCATCAGAGATTTCTGAAGCAAGTGACAGAAGTCAACTGCTTTTTAAAATGCTATTTTATTATCAATCAATATGTATAAATTGTATATATTAATGAGGTTCAGTGTGATATTTTGATACATACATACAACATGCACTAATAAAATCCAGCCTCCTTTATCCACCTTTCCCCACTTTCTCAACATCTATTAATCACTATTCTACTTTCTACTTTGTTTTTTTTTTTAGCTTCCACCTATGAAAGAGACTCTATGGTTTTTGTCTTTCAATGTCTGGGTAGTTTCACTTGACATAATATCTTCCACTTCCATTCATTCTGCTGCATTGACAATATTTCATCCTTTTTTAGAAATGGAATAATACTCTATTCATCGCATTTTCTTTATCCATCTGGTACCTAGCATGATTACATATCCCACCTATTGTCACTGCTGCCAAAATAGCATGGAGATACAGGTATCTCCTTGACAAAGTCACTTGAAATGTCAAGGCCAGGGAGCACCTCAGGTACTTTTGGGTCTCATACAAAGCCACCACCTTCAATTGCTTTCCCCTGTGTTCTTGTCACTCCCACACAAGGCTCCCCTCCCTGGCAGCCCCAGGGACGACAGCTGCTCCTCAGATAGTTCTTCTTGCATCAGCTTAAGTCACAGACTCCCTCCCTCCTTGACTGGCAATTAGTGCCACCAGGCAAGTAGAGGACAGTGGCACTACAAGAGAAAGATGGGATATGAGGAATAGAAAAAACTTGTAGTGTCCACTTATATAGTGACACCTGTGTCCTCCGATGTGAGTCAAGCATAGTTGAGCTTAGACAGCTCTGTGAAGGTGGACAAGCATGTCCACTTGTAGAAAAGGAGACTGAACCCTCAGACCTAAGCTCTGGTGATGCACAGACAGGAGTCATGCCAGGACTTTCAGTGCCAGCCCTCACCCAAATGGGACCAATGAGTTCTGAGCCTGGCCAGTGAGCACAGGCCCAAGGAGGTTGGACAGCCAGATCAACAGAGGGAGCCCTCCACCAGTCCACACAGTCCTCAGGCTCACGTCTCTAGGGCCAAACAAAGACCTAGAGAAGACTGCAGTCCTCTCCAGTGGAATTCAAAGTGAAACCATACCAAGCCACAACTGAGGGGAACAAAGGCCCACTAAACCCAGGATGTGTGTCTCCAGCAGGATCTGAGTTCCAGATAACTATGAGTTGCCAGAAAATTATTTCACATACTCTCCCCATTTCTCCTATTGCTCCTGTTCTACCCGTACTCTGAGCACATGCTTGGCTACCTTATAGGCTCTCCAGCATGGTGTCCCCATGGCTCCCCCCCAGACCTGTTTCTCCCTCTGTGGTGGGGACATGTGACTCACCTGAATGCTTCAGAGGTGATAGAATGGACACCCCCAGCCTGGCTCAGTTCCCACAGGGACAGGTGTTAGATGAGCAGAATGAAGGTGCACACAAGTCCCTTCTTGGCTGGTGCTCACAGCCTGGCCCACAGCCTTGCTGGTTCTCTCCACACAGGATAACCAGACAGACAGTGGGATGGTGCTGGCCTCAGAGGAATTTGAGCGGATAGAGAGCAGGCATAGACAAGACAGTGGATTCAGGTAAGGGCTTGGGAGGCCTCCTCCCCTGCAAAGGTGGGCATTGCCCTCCCTAGGAGACTCTGAGCAGAGGCCTGGTGAGGGAGGTTGGGGCTTGGTGTGCACTGCCACTCTTATCTAGAACCCTC